AGGTCAAGGCTGCAGTGGCTGGGAGCGGTCACTGCACTCCAGTCTGGGCGACAGAGTGAGACTCCGACTTAAAAAAAAAAAAGACTGTTTAAAACACAACATTCAAAATGCTTTCCTCTCAGTCCCAGAGCATGCTGAGGCAGTGGGGCATTTGCTCCTGTACTAGAGAACCCAGATTGGGAGGAGAACATGCTCACTCTTCACTGTGCCCCACTCACCGCTTCCCATTGTTTGTTCTGAAATAGACCGAAAAGTCAAGGAGATGGTTTGTGACACCAGAAAAGATTTTGTTTGCACAAATACCTTTCAGTTGAGATAAACCTGCCTTGTAGCAACCATGAGTGTGCATGAACTTCGAGCACTGTGTTGGGAGTTCAGGTTCAAGTCAACACCAAGGGTGACCTGATCTTCCCAGCCTGGGTCATTCAGGTGGCCTGTGCTCCAGATACATGGGGATGTCCATGGCAATATGGGGGCTGCAGAGTTGTCTGGCTGTGGTGGCTGGGACCCTGGAGATGCTCCTTTGCCAGCCTGAGCAGGATGCCCCAGGGCCCTTCTCATGCCAGCCTGTCTACCCTGCCACCATTGTCTGGTCCTGACAATGGTCCCCCCAAAGTCTCTGGTCTCTATTCACATGACCACTCATGACTCTTCACATGCTGGACTACGTGCTTAGTATAAATATGAGCAATTTAACAACAGTTGACTCAAACCTCACAGAGGACTAGTGACCAAGGATGGAGCCTCAGCCTCCCTTCAGAGGTACCCCAGGCCTTCTGCCTTCTCTTCCTCCCAACAAATTCTAACTTTTGGCTGCCTGGACAGTCCAAAGTTCTGAGCAGTACCTTGGCTTGGGCCCGATCCATCTTTGAGTCTGGAATCTGGAATGCTGGGGAAACGGGGGACAAGCCCTGATGTCATTGGCCACAAGGGGAGGGTCTTTGTCAGCATCTCCTCCCCACTTCGGGAGATGGAAGGAGCAAAAAGTGTATGTCTCCCGCATCTCCTCCCTTTCCTCAGGTTTCCCTAAAGTCTCTCTCTGCTAAATCCACCTCTTCTTTGCCCCATTCTGACATGGCTTCCTAAGTCCCCCATTCCTTTCCTCTGCATCCTCCCTTCCTTGAGCCCACCGCCTCCAGACACCCTCTGGACCCCTAGGACAGCTGATAATCATCAGGCTGTGCTGGCATCCCTGCTCCTGCCCCAGCCAAGATCTATCGGCCTAGCTCTGTCTGGCCCTGACATGCCCAGAGCCTGGCCACACTGCAGACCATGGAAGATAAAAGCAGCAGCTCACTGGGGCACACCCACCTCAACAATGCAGGCAGAGGGAGGGCCTGCTGGTTAGAGGCAGCTGCCCAGAGCCTGTGTCCAGATGGTCCTGCTGGAGAGGAGGTTTGAGGCCAGGGAGACTCCCTATCCCCTCTTTCCACTGCCCCAGCAGCTGCCCTGCTCACCTGCCCCAGGAAATCAACCCAGCAACCAAGGCCCCTCAAGGAGGTGGGGAGGGAAAGATCTCACTGACCTGCTCTGTCCCTCAGTTCTGCCTAAAGACTACCCATCTTGCTTCTCATCTACCCACCCTCTTGCCACCCACCCACAGGCCTGCCTGCCAGGTCCCAGGCTGGGGATCAGCTATGAATTATTAAAGCAAACAAAAGCATTTCCTAGCAGGGAGCCTAGCCTGCAGCTGCTTACAGGAAAGGCAGCCCCAGCTGGCCTCCCTTCTGGGGCCCTGCTAGTGTGCTGGGACCTACTCTGGGGGGAGAGCTGGCCTGGGTCCTCCAGGGGTCTCCTCCAGGGGGAAGGCTGGCCTGTCCCCTGTAGAGGTCTCTCCAGACTGGGAAGCACATCAAAGAGAAGAGGACTACTTCTGTGCTGTGCACACCAGTAGGAGGACTTGGGTCTACAGGGGAGTCATGAGACAGAGGGGAGGAGTTGGGCAAATGGGTTTCGGAGATAAAGTTCCACTGGTTCTGGGCAGGAGCTGGGGTCCTTGTATAATCTTCCCTGGTAAGGAGACCCTGGTAGAGAGAGGCAACCCTCTCCAGCAGGCTTCTCATCCTTTCCCTCCCCCACTGCCCCCAGTTGAAGGGTACGCAGCCCCTCTGTTCTCCCTACCCCTTTCCTTACTGTTGGCAGAGGCTCCCTCACTTATCTTAGCAGGTCTCTGAAATTTCCCTCTTCACCCGCCTTCTGTAAAATCCTGGCCTTGTTGTAAAAGCCAACTTGTAGAACTGGAGAGGGTCCTGGATCAGGTGGAACCTAGAGCCCTTCTGGGTCAAGAGGGGATCCCCACAGAAAGGGACTCGAGAGCCTTCAGAGACACACTCCTGCTTTCTTCTTCAGCAGATATTCGTTGTCCCCCTCAGCAGATACTGACGAGTCCAGTATGAACTCCTTGACCCTGTCCTGGGAGCTGTATGCACAGGGATGAATGGGCCATCACCATTGCCCTAGAGGAAATCCCCAGCTGGCAAGACAAGGAAGACCGGGACCAGCAGACAACAGCAGATACTGGCCTATGGTAAGCATCCTTAGGCCACAGTAAGAACTGTTCCCCTGGGCAGGGTGGGAGGGCACAGACAGAGAAGACACTGGGTGGGTCCTGAGGCTAGTAAGGCTTGATTCAGTGGGTGAGTGGTTGCTGAGAGCAGGGGGACTGTTTCAAGAGAAGTTAGGAATTGCTGGTGGTGGGTCAGCTGATTCTCCAAGGACCCACTGCACGCCGAGTATCGTGCCAAGATTGGGAAAGAAGACTGGGGTCAGACTGTGATAGTCTTGGGTGCTGAGTATCCAGAAGGAAACGGGCGTGGGGGTGGGTTGCTCTATTTTTAATCAAGGGAGAGACATGTCAGAGAAAAGTACTTTGGAAGTATTGTTTTGGTCCCCAGTGAATGAAAGATGGTTTGAGGGGAGTGGTGAGAGGCTGGGGCAGGGGCGCTGGGCCAGGAGGCCAAGGTGGTGAACAAGGGGACAGTTAACCTTCAAGACAGGGAGGAATGGGGGGAGGGGCAAGCGAGTCTCATTGTTAAAAGTAGGCTGTGGGCACTGAGATTGGGATTATGACACCGAAGGGAATCTCCCTAGGCGGTGTCTGTGGGGTGAAGGTCAGGCAGGCATCTAAGACAACTCTCAGATCCCAGGCAGCCCTGGGGGAGAGCATGCCTGTGAAAGCCCTGGGGGAGAGCATGCCTGTGATGAGAGGAAGGGAAGCTGGGTGAAGAGGGAGGCAGGGATGGGGGGAGGACAGGCAACACTGGGAAGAATGAGGAGATGGATTAGGGAGCCGGCAAGAGAGTCAACCAGACAAACAAGCAGGTGTCTCCAGACTTGGGGATTCACAGAGCAGGGCTGAAGAAACACCCCTATTCAATTGCTCAACCTCACTCAAGAGCCTCCCATGAGCAGACAACACTGCTGGAGTCCGGTCCTCTGGGCCCCGTCCCCACACTGCTGGCACCCCACGAAGGCTACGAGGGCACTGCCTCCTTCACACTTGCTCCCCCTTGTCGGATCTGCTGCCTTTGGGCAGGCACGGAGGGAAAGGTCAGACAGAAATGGAACCTTAACTCCCAGAAGCCCCACTGGAGCCCCCTCCTTACCAGGAGCTCACACCACACAGCCGGTGGGGGGTGGGGGGGATGAAGAGGGAGCCGCGTTAAGAAACGGACCATCTCAAGTTAAACAAAAAGCCAGAACTAACAGAAAAACAGGCAGGACGGAGAACTGTTAGCATAGCACAGTGAAACGCAAGTTAATGGGAAGGAAATATACTACAGTGTTGACAGTAGTCGTGTTAGAGAGGTAGGATTTGGTTTTTTATTTTCCAGTGTTTTGGGAAGACAGTTATATCACTCGTAAAACTTGTGGAGATTAACTCATCCACTAGCCCCTTTCTCCTCCTGAAGAGATCAGCTCCAGACAGAGCTCCCTCCTAATAGCCACGAAAGGACAGGCACGCAGAAACAGAGCTCCAGTGTGCACGTGGAACACGGTGCGTGTCCGTTGCAGGATGAGACTGTGGTGGCCATGAGCCTGGACAGGACTGGGGGTGTCAGGCCTTGTCTGCCCTGGCAACCCCCAGCCAGAATCAGCTCCAGGCTGCTGGACAGCAGCCTCTTGGACTTCCCAGAAGCCTAGCGCCCACCCTGTCCCGGCTGTCTGCAGAGCCGTTACTTCCCTAGTCCTAACCCCAGTGAACTCCCCGGAGGATGTCTAAATGCCCTCCCCCATGCTCACGGTTGGAGGCACAAAAAGCCTGGGGCTTTGGGGGTGAGTCTATAAACTTTTAACGTTCCCGTCCAAATCCCAAGTGAACCCCCCACCCAGGACCCCTGCGCAGGGGTCAGGGGAGACAGGCGTGGGTGCCGGGTTCCCTGGGACTCGCTGTCTCACTTACCTACCAGAGCGACGCCTGACGAAGAGAGGCAGGGGCCTGTCCCATTGCCCGCCCCATCTGTCCACCCAGGCCGGCTGCCCAATAATCACTTCCCCGCTGTTCAGCCCCCTGGTCGCTTCTCTGGCTCCACACACCCCCATCCTCCAACGCCGAGGGGCGTGGGAAAGGAGAAGGAGGCTGGGTTTCTTGCCTTTCCTGAATTGGACAAGAAGAGGCACGGGGACTGCCCAGGAAGGAGGGGCTGGACCCTCGTGGACGGCCGGTGGCTGTGGGCCGTGGCTCAGGGGCTGCGGGCAGCGGGGATGTCGCCTCCTTCAGAGCCGCAGTCGGCCGGGCCGGGCTGATGTTCACCGCTGCGCGCGCGAGCGACCGTCGGAAGTCAGAGCCGGGACTGCCCGGAGTGGAGGCGAAGCTCCGCCCCGGCCCGCCCCACGCCCTCCGAGGAAGCGCGGGCGCTGGGACCGGCGTGCGGGAGAGCCCGCCGGGGCAGTCCAGAGTCAGGGCTCTTCCACCCCTCGCTCCAGCGGCCGAGAAAGCTGAGCGGAGGCGGGCGCGGAACGGTCCGCCCGAGCGCACCGGGTCGCGTCCGAGCGCTTACCTCTGCGCCGCGGTGCTGGCGTCCAGGATGCCCGCGCCCTGCATCCAGGAGCGCACGGAGCCCAGGCC